TTTGTTTTTAAAGATGCTGAAAAGCGCATTATGATTTTTGCTAGCAAAGCGTTGTCATTCATATAAACTGTAAATGTCTGTAGGTAAGACGTCGAAGATCCGTGTATCAGCTGGAGGTAGGACGTAACTGGACAACCTATCTCACCTGAAAGTGAGACATCAGATAACAGTATTCTTACTTGTATGTGGGACATCGCATACCATTGTATCTCACCTGTAGGTAGGACGTCACAAACCATTGTATCTCACCTGCAGGTAGGACGTCACATAACATTATATCTCACCTGTAGGGAGGACGTCACATACCATTGTATCTAACCTGCAGGTAGGACGTCACAACATGGTATCTCACCTGTAGGTAGGGCGTCACAACATTGTATCTCCCCTGTAGGTAGAACGCCACATCCCATTGTATCTCACCTTTAGGGAGGACATCGCATACCATTGTATCTCTCCTGTAGGTAGGACGTCACATTCCATTGTTTCTCACCTGTAGTTAGGACGTCACAACATTGTATCTCTCCTGTAGGTAGGACGTCACCTACCATTGTTTCTCACCTGTAGTTAGGACGTCACAACATTGTATCTCCCCTGTAGGTAGAACGCCACATATCATTGTATCTCATCTGTAGGTAAGACGTCACATAACAGTATATCTCACCTGTAGGTAGGGCGTCACACACCATTGTATCTCACCTGTAAGTAGGACGGCACATACCATTGTATCTCACCTGTAAGTAGGACGTCACATACCATTGTCTCTCACCTGTAGGTAGGACGGCACAACATTGTATCTCACCTGTAGGCAGGACGTCACAACATTGTATCTCTCCTGTAGGTAGGACGTCACAACATGGTATCTCACCTGTAGGTAGGCCGTCAAATAACATTGTATCTCACCTGTATGTAGGACGTCACATACCATAGTATCTCACCTGTAGGTAGAACGTCACATACCATTGTATGTCACCTGTAGGTAGGACGTGACAACATTGTATCTCACCTGCAGGTAGGACGCCACATAACATTGTTTCTCACCTGTAGGTAGGACGGCACAACATTGTATCTCACCCGTAGGTAGGACGTCACATAACATTGTATCTCACCTGTAAGTAGGACGTCACATACCATTATATCTCACCTTTAGGTAGGACATCGCATTCCATTGTATCTCACCTGTAGGGAGGACGCCACATAACATTGTTTCTCACCTGTAGGTAGGACGGCACAACATTGTATCTCACCTGCAGGTAGGACGTCACAACATGGTATCTCACCTGTAGGTAGAACGTCACATACCATTGTATGTCACCTGTAGGTAGGACGTGACAACATTGTATCTCACCTGTAGGTGGGACGCCATATATCATTGTATCTCACCTGTAGGTAGGACGTCACATATCATTGTATCTCACCTGTAGGTAGAACGCCACATACCATTGTATCTCACCTGTAGGTAGGACGTCACATATCATTGTATCTCACCTGTAGGTAGGACGTCACATACCATTGTTTCTCACCTGTAGGTAGGACGTCACAACATTGTATCTCACCTGTAGGTAGGACGTCACATACCATTGTATCTCACCTGCAGGTAGGACGTCACATAACATTGTATCTCACCTGTAAGTAGGACGTCACATACCATTGTATCTCACCTGTAGGTAGGACGTCACATATCATTGTATCTTACCTGTAGGTAGGACATCACAACATTGTATCTCACCTGTAGGTAGGACGCCACTTACCATTATATCTCACCTGTAGGTAGGACGCCACATAACATTGTATCTCACCTGTAGGTAGGACGCCACATACCATTGTATCTCACCTGTAGGTAGGACGCCACACAACATTGTATCTCACCTGTAGGTGGGACGCCATATATCATTGTATCTCACCTGTAGGTAGGACGTCACATAACATTGTATCTCACCTGTAGGTAGGACGCCACATATCATTGTATCTCACTTGTAGGTAGGACGTCCCATATCATTGTATCTCACCTGTAGGTAGGACGCCACATAACATTGTATCTCACCTGAGGTTTGGGTGTTAAAGAATATTGTAACAAACCAGAATTAGGACGTCACGGAACAATGTATCTCATCTGTATGCATGACAACATATATTAACTGTGGGTAAGACGTCTCAAAACAATGTTTCTCACCTGTAGGAAGGACATTCCATACAGATACGCCCCAGAAACAGCGGTTAAGGATCACGTTCTGTTGGCTGTATGGAACAGGACCCTGGTACAAGGAAAGGCACGTGATCATACCCTGAAATCTTTGGGAGCCTTTTTCATCCGACCCCAGCCGCAGTATCCCAGGCAGGTCTATATTCATGGTAGAGATGAGACGATGGTCTATCTTAGCGGTGTATGGACCATCGACTCCAATTTTGATGTTTCCGTCGACTAAATCAACTCCTACCGACACAAACTGCCATTCACCTGGCCTGACCTTGTTTAAGGCACAAATAGCGGAGGATACATTTTTAGTTGTGACGTAGCTTAAGCAAATCTTGTTGTCCGTCCCTATCCAAACAGAAAATTCTGTGTGGTCACTTCCACTTCCGGTACCACGATAATCCAACAAATATCCCGCTGAGGCAGAAGCGTCGGCATTAAAACTGAACGTGAAAAATGTCTCAGAAGCTATCAAGTTGGTCTGTCCGGAGGATAATTTAACATGAAGGTCAATGTACGGACGTGTCTCTCCATCGAATTTCAATGGCTGACAATGCAGGTAATTATGAAGGGCGGTATCGAACATTAATCCACATTGACTGTTGTTTTGAGCCGCTCCCTCTCTTACCTCACTCAGATAAGTCTTCTCCGACAGGGGCCAAAGAAGAATAGGAGCACCGAAATTGTCTGACTCGGAGGCAACTTTGAAGAAAAATGGCAAAAGAAATATTGGTTACATCAAAGGTATAAACACCAAGACATTTGATTTAATTTCAATGTTTAGAGAAAAGAAATAATAATAGTTTTCTTAAAGTTATATAGGCGCTGTGATGGTACTTTCTGGTAGACGTTGGTCGCTAATTAAATGTCATTATATAACATACCATATATGATACTATATCATCTTTAATTCCTCTCAATTGGAGAGCATGATACAATGATATGATAGAACATGAATAATACATAATTTATAAAATGACAACAATAGTGACATTCATACAAGTTCACAAACGTATACGCATATTGTTAAATATCAGTGATATAATACTGGTTTATGCAGCCAGTAAAAAGAAAAGAAAAAGAAAAAAAAACTTGCCTATGTTCGAATTTGTTTTACATTTTCCTTATATTTAAAAGGCAAGTATTTGTTAGACATTATTATAATAATAATTATTATTAATTTGTATATAAGTCAAACATTCTTTTTATCGCATATACGGATTCTAGGCTAAATTCTTCAAAATCAGTTTCATTTAAATGATAGGTCATTGGGCCTCCTAGTTAAATGTAAATACTGAATAGTCAGGCAGTGAATGCAGATATGAACTGAGTTCAATACTTGAAATGCTGGCAATTATACACCATAAATTGTCACGAAGATTTTCTATAACAGAACAATGCAAAATCACGTGAGATACAAAATCTGTGTAGAAATAGCCACAATGATGACATAAAAGTTGTATGTTACTTATACGTAAAGATACAATCAATTTCATTATATATCCGATATTGTCAAGAAAATTTGGGTGACGCAAGGCTAATTTCCATAAATTATAAGGTTTTAGACAGTCATGTAGCAATAAAAATCGTGTAAAGTCTGTGTCATTAGGCATTCTTTGCATCCATGTATTAGTTTCATAGTTTGTTACGGATTTATAAATCAATGACTTCCAATACATTTTATTTGGAAAAACACTTTCATCTAGAAATTGTATAATGTATTCATATAGGTTATACATCTTTAGTAATCTGACAATGTCTGGTATATAACCTTTTTGACTATAATTATTAACTGTATAAATAAAATACCTCAAAATGAATACTCTGCAGATTAAGTTACTTGTTTTCATTCTGTAGATCCTGCCTAAAAACAAAAGCTTTTTAATATTGATATACGCCTCTATAGAAAACCATCCGATTAAAGAAGTACACATATCAGTTCTTGTTCTTTTTCCGAAACCTTGGATTGACTTAACAATAAAATGTTGGGCTCTTTCTAACACCAATAACTCAGTATTTGAAAGTACCCAGAGTTCACAACCGTAAAGCGCAGACGGGTAGACTTTAATTTTTATAATTTTAGCAACAGTTAATGGGTTTAGTGCGCATTGATGTGCCCCAGAACGTAAAAGGGCCATAGTACCACTTTTTTTTTTTTTTTTTACACGTTTGTTTTGTTTCAATAAGATACCTACATGAGTAATCTCTGAAACGGCAGGCAATATATTATCATAAAGACGTACAGTACAGTTAATGTTTATGATTATTTTATTTGAAAATACGACAACTTTACTTTTTGACGCAGAATACAAAAATCGCAAAAACCGTATGATTCACAAATAGATAACATTTTATTTAGACTTGTAATATTTGTACTAACCAAACATATATCGTCTGCTTGAGTTGGAACATTTACAGTTTTGTCGATTATCATTGCGCCCCTACCGCAGTTTTCAACTTCATTCAACAAGTCATTAATAAAAACTAAGTACATTTTGGCTGAGAAGAGCCCCGCCTTGTAAGATTCCTCGCTCCATCTTTACTGGTGCGGAGGTTAAACCATTAAAAAATATAATTAAATGTCATATATAACACAACATATATGACACTATAATAAACAAAATTGACTTGACTGGACTATAACAATCCCAATTCGTTTCAATACTTATCTCGGACCTGTTCGATATATTTCGCAGTATATTGACAAACAAATTATTTGGAAATAAAATGTTTATAAAAGTATTAAAATTTGAATATCTTGCTTACCAACATTCCAGTTAAATAGAAGTACAACCAACGTAACCATTCTTCAGTCAATCTTCTCCATACTGCGCTGTTTGATGGCAAGCTGATCCTTCTCCCACTTTAACATGACAGTTACTGTACGAAGCTCCAGTCCTTATAACCGTGATCTCTAACCAAACATGCGATTACAGTATGACAATGTCATAACGTATTTTACGCGTGTTGGTCGTCCGTTCTTATTCGTTGCAGACTAATTTACATTTATTCATCGTCCGACTGTAACCCCTTTATCCTTGGTCAGTGGGGGACGTTCCGACATCACCTACCACTTAGAGATTCCATGTTAAACGAGTGCTTGACGCGATCGGTACTTTTGAAGTGCAATATTTGCGTTATTGACAACTTCAATTAGAACCATACGCCACCAGCATCGGTAAACCCATTTCAACCGTTACAACGGATAAATAGTTGATATGTTTTCGATAAAGTGCTTAAGATGTATTTCTGTGTAGTGATAATCCTATCAAACGACAACAGCAGTCATGCGTAGACGTGTGTTTGACATAACCAGTGTTTGCTTTTACAGTGATATGCAATTGTCCATAGCTTAATTCGGAAAGCGAAAACATGTTTTAGATCACTATGATAAATTGATTCTATTAACTTGTTAACGGATACAGTGAATTTATTATTATACTGCTACGCTATGATTATTATACTGCTACGCTATGATTATCATACTGCTACGCTATGATTATTTCAGATTAATTAAAAGAAAAGAAACATATATGTAATAAAACCATTTAGTTTTGATTTTGTTGAAAAACGCTTTTGAAGGGAAAATAATTCATTTAATTTATTTATATTAAAATTAAATTAATTGTTTTTGTTATATATATACACAGTAAAATTATATTGCCCGAAATAGAAACAAGGCCTCAAACACCATCTCTAAGCCGACATTAAATATGTTCATTGTGTTTATGTACATTCATCCGGGGCAAATTCATGGCAAGCTGGAAATGAAGTTACGCCAATGTAACAACAAATAAACAAAATAAACGAATAGATCAATAGGCCCTTAAACGCACAAGGAACACAATGTGATATCGCGTAGCGGCTGATGTAAATATATCAGCTAGTACATTGTTTAGCAGTATTTTTTAACAGAAATATATCTTTCTGTTATTCCCTCTGTTTCTTGCTGTATCAATATAAATCCCTTAGATTTTAAGTTTAAAGACAACACATGCATCATATAAAAGTTAAAATGGCACATAAACGACATTTTATACCTCTGCGAACTAAGTATGTTAGCCTCGAACGGGAGACAAATCATTGTGGCACACGGTACAATGTCCTCAATATAAACAAAACAACGTTTTTGTCTGTATCGCACTCCTCATGTAACCTCTCCCAAATCCACGAAAATTATCAACTTGAAATACATCTACAAACGTCCAAACATGAAAGCTTATTATGCTATATTCCACAACAGTGAACGTTTATTATGTTATATTCCACAAGAGTGAACGTTTATTATGTTATATTCCACAAGAGTGAAGGTTTCTAGTTCACAAATTCCCAGGTCACTTTTCATCAGGGCCATAGATAAAGAGTATTTATTTATTGCTCTTAATGTTCCTATACGAGAACATAATAATTTGTGTTTATATCGCTTTGGTAAAAACTTGACAACATCTGTTCACGAAACAGTGAACATTGGTGAAGTGCAGAAAAAGTGAAGGATTTACAGCTAGAGTCTCTACCACAAATACCAGCACACCGGAACACTCCAGTGACGTTGTGGAGTCCTTTTGGCGTAGCATTTATTGTAACGCCGACGCCTTCTCTCGAAAATAATCCGTTTTTGTTACATAAAATGTCAGTTGATAAGACGTTGGTTGTTTGCTGAATTATGGTTGCTGATTCAGTGATTGATGTATTTGTGCTTTCAGTGAAAGTTGTCGTTATTGTCGGTTCAGTTGTGGTTGTCGTTATTGTTGGTTCAGTTGTGGTTGTCGTAGAAGTCGGTTCAGTGGTTGTTGTGGTAGTTGTCAGTTCCGTGGTAGGTGTGGTAGATGTCGGTTCATTGGTTATCGTCGTTGTCGGTTCAGTTGATGTTGTCGCTGTTGTTAATTCAGTCGCTGTTATCGTCGTTGTCGGTTCAGTTGTTGTTGTCGTCGTTGTTGGTTCAGTTGATGTTGTTGTCGTTGTTGCCGGATGTGTTGTTGTTGTCGTCGTTGCCGGTTCAGTTGATGTTATCGTAGTTGTCGGTTCAGTTGATGCTGTCGCTGTTGTTGATTCAGTGGCTGTTATCGTCGTCGTTGGTTCAGTGGTTGTTGTGGTAGTTGTCGGTTGAGTTGATGTTGTCGCTGTTGTTGATTCAGTGGCTGTTATCGTCGTTGTCGGTTCAGTTGATGCTGTCGCTGTTGTTGATTCAGTGACTGTTATCGTCGTCGTTGGTTCAGTGGTTGTTGTGGTAGTTGGCGGTTCAGTTGTTGTTTTCGTTGTTGTTGGTTTAGTTGTTGTTCTCGTCGTTGTTGGTTTAGTTGTTGGTATCGTCGTTGTTGGTCCAGTTGTTGTTATCGGTGTTGTTGGTTCTGTTGTTGTTGTCGTCGTAGTTGTCGGTTCAGTTGTTTTTGTCGTCGTTGTCGCTTCAGTTGTTGTTGTGGTAGTTGTTGGTTCCGTTGATGTTATCGTAGTTGGTGCTTTAGTTGTTGTTTTCCTTGTTGTTGGTTCAGTTTATGTTGTTGTCGTCGCTGCCGGTTCAGTTGTTGTTCTTGTCGTTGTTGGTTGAGTTGATGTTGTCGCTGTTGTTGGTTCAGTTTATGTTGTTGTCGTCGCTGCCGGTTCAGTTGTTGTTATCGTCTTTGCCGGTTCAGTTGTTGTTCTTGTCGTTGTTGGTTCTGTTGATGTTGTTGTTGTCGTGGTTGTTGGTTGAGTTGATGTTGTCGCTGTTGTTGGTTCAGTGGCTGTTATCGGCGTTGTCGGTTCAGTTGTTGTTACCGTCGTTGTTGGTTCAGTTGATGTTATCGTAGTTGTTGGTTTAGTTGTTGTTATCGTCGTTGTTGGTTCAGTTGATGTTGTTGTCGTCGTTGCCGGTTCAGTTGTTGTTATCGTCGTTGTTGGTTCAGTTGATGTTATCGTAGTTGTTGCTTTAGTTGTTGTTATCCTTGTTGTTGGTTCAGTTGATGTTGTTGTCGTCGTTGCCGGTTCAGTTGTTGTTGTCGTCGTTGTCGGTTCAGTTGTTGTTGTCGTCGTAGTTGTCGGTTCAGTTGATGTTGTCGCTGTTGTTGATTCAGTGACTGTTATCGTCGTCGTTGGTTCAGTGGTTGTTGTCGCCGTTGTTGATTCATTGGTTGTTGTGGTAGTTGTCGGTTGAGTTGATGTTGTCGCTGTTGTTGATTCAATGACTGTTATCGTCGTCGTTGGTTCAGTGGTTGTTGTGGTAGTTGTCGGTTCAGTTGTTGTTGTTGTCGTTGTCGGTTCAGTTGTTGTTACCGTCGTTGTTGGTTCAGTTGATGTTGTTGTCGTCGTTGTCGGTTCAGTTGTTGTTGTCGTCGTTATTGGTTCAGTTGTTGTTATCGTCGTTGTTGGTTCAGTTGATGTTGTTGTCGTCGTTGCCGGTTCAGTTGTTGTTGTCGTCGTTGTCGGTTCAGTTGTTGTTATCGTCGTTGTCGGTTCAGTTGTTGTTATCGTAGTTGTTGGTTCATTTGATGTTGTTGTCGTCGTTGCCGGTTCAGTTGTTGTTGTCGTCGTTGTCGGTTCAGTTGTTGTTATCGTCGTTGCCGGTTCAGTTGTTGTTATCGCTGTTGTTGGTTCAGTTGTTGTTATCGTCGTTGCCGGTTCAGTTGATGTTATCGTCGTTGTTGGTTCAGTTGATGTTATCGTCTTTGTTTGTTCAGTTGTTGTTGTCGTCGTTGTCGGTTCAGTAGTTGTTATCGTAGTTGTTGGTTCAGTTGTTGTTATCGTCGTTGTTGGTTCAGTTGATGTTATCGTCGTTGTTGGTTCAGTTGATGTTATCGTCTTTGTTTGTTCAGTTGTTGTTGTCGTCGTTGTCGGTTCAGTTGTTGTTGTCGTCGTTGTCGGTTCAGTTGTTGTTATCGCTGTTGTCGGTTCAGTTGTTGTTATCGTCGCTGTTGGTTCAGTTGATGTTACCGTCGTTGTTGGTTCAGTTGATGTTGTTGTCGTCGTTGCCGGTTTAGTTGTTGTTGTCGTCGTTGTCGGTTCGGTTGTTGTTATCGTCGCTGTTGGTTCCGTTGATGTTATCGTCGTTGTTGGTTCAGATGTTGTTGTCGTCGTTGTCGGTTCAGTAGTTGTTATCGTAGTTGTTGGTTCAGTTGTTGTTATCGCTGTTGTCTGGTCAGTTGTTGTTATCGTCGCTGTTGGTTCAGTTGATGTTACCGTCGGTGTTGGTTCAGTTGATGTTGTTGTCGTCGTTGTCGGTTCAGTTGATGTTAACGTCGTTGTTGGTTCAGTTGATGTTGTTGTCGTCGTTGCCGGGTCAGTTGTTGTTGTCGTCGTTGTTGGTTCAGTTGTTGTTGTCGGCGTTGTTGGTTCAGTTGTTGTTGTCGGCGTTGTCGGTTCAGTTGTTGTTATCGTAGTTGTTGGTTCAGTTGTTGTTATCGCTGTTGTTGGTGCAGTTGTTGTTATCGTCGTTGTCGGATCAGTTGATGTTATCGTCGTTGTTGGTTCAGATGTTGTTGTCGTCGTTGTCGGTTCAGTTGTTGTTATCGTAGTTGTCGGTTCAGTTGTTTTTGTTGTCGTTGTCGGTTCAGTTGTTGTTATCATCGTTGTCGGTTCAGTTGATGTTATCCTCGTTGTTGGTTCAGTTGTTGTTGTCTTCGTTGCCGGTTCAGTTGTTGTTATCGCTGTTGTCGGTTCGGTTGTTGTTATCGCTGTTGTCGGTTCGGTTGTTGTTATCGTCGCTGTTGGTTCCGTTGATGTTATCGTCGTTGTTGGTTCAGTTGTTGTTGTCGTCGTTGTTGGTTCAGTTGTTGTTGTCTTCGTTGTCGTTTCAGTTGTTGTTGTCGTAGTTGTTGGTTCAGTGGCACTGGTTTTTGAATCAACTTCTATTTGTGTGTCACTATTTCTTGTTGAAGTACTTGTCGGTTCGGTTGTCGAGGATATTTTCTGTTCAGTTTTTGTTTTGTCGTAGGTCGTTGTTGTCGGTTTGGGTTTATTGATTTCTGGTTTGGAATCAATCACATCCCGTGAGTCACTATCTACTTCTGTTTTAGGTTTCGATTCAGATGCTACTGATGTAGTTGTCGGTGTATCGGTGGTGGTTGTAGTTGTCGGTTTAGTGGTTGTTGTTGTGGATTCAGTTGCGATCGTTTCGGACTTAAACACATTCAGTACGTCATCACTTATGGGCAGTTCAAATGCCGTGTCTTGTATTCCACACACTGAAATAATCATAAAAAAGAATAGGACAATTTAAAAGAAAAAGAATATTGAGCGGTTTTCCTTGAAACAACCAAGATGTATTTTAAAGAGTATGGCAGAATATTATATTATATAATACACCGATATGATTTTACGAGTTCATTTTTCCACTAAAGTATTTGATATGAGTGGTGTTAAATGGGAGAGACAGTTTCTGTAAAATGTCTGTATGTTTAACGAATTGTTGTTTGTGTTGGACAGGTAATGAGATGATGATAGATAATAGAATCGATGCATAAATTTCCTCGTATTCAGCTGGAGTTATCTTCTTATCACGTGACCTGCTAGACTAAATTCCGCCCGTCAATGATGGCTGTTTTTAATGTAATTGGTCCGATGTTTGACTATTCCACACAGTCTTAAGCAGTCTTTTGTGTTAAGTCAACTCTCACCAATATTTAGTATAGTTCCATGTATAAATATGGATAGAGTTAACCAAAGTGGCCCCATTTAAAAAAATATTAATTGACTTAGTCGCGTCATTATACATGTATTTTGATGATTATTTGGCCGCCGTGGGTGACTGTGATAAAGACGGGATACCTCTACTTGATGTGACAAGGATAACTATGTGACTATCAAAGTACACTGTAAATATTACATCTATAAAGCATGAAAAACAGGAAATTTAATTGTTACTACGAAAAGCGCGGGTGAAAGGTCGTAATATTTAACAACATACTGCAGTAAGGTCATTCTTGTCAACGAGTAAGTGCCCAGTTATGAAATGGCTACTCAATCATCTGCCCAAATCATTGCTTTCGATTGTGTAGTAGTGTACATAACGTATATTTGTACCTATAAAACATCAAAAAAGCACGTCTGCAATCATCGCTTCATTTGCATCTGAACGGAAAATTGGCAACTTTGAATGATAATACGAAAATACTGTAATTAATTTTATCAGAATGATGGAGTTTTATACTTCACTTGCTAAAAGTTTTATTAATTTTTCATTATAACGAAGTGCATGCCGTACGTGCATATTATTTCATATAAAGTTTCGTTGCACAACCATCAAATTAAGTTTCCCCTTGTGATGCATTGATTTTATCTAAACCCTTTATCTACGGAATGATTGTATCTGCTCTCCAACAGAGGAAGAGTTATCCTTCCTCTAACAGTGAAATGATTTAATCTAAACCCTTTATCTACGGAATGATTATATCTGCTCTCCAACAGAAGCCGGAATCATCCTTCCTCTAACAGTGAAATGATTGCCTCCCTCCAATAGTCCTGGAATGTTTTCATTTTTTATAGCAGTTAAATTATTGGGTCAATTCTGTAGTGTTGTACCGATCCGCGCCTTAAAAGTAGAATGATAAATAGCATCGAATACGTTCATCTACCCTCAAGCGATGAAATTACTTCATTTATAATACGATGGTCGGAATTGGCTGTAGTAATGTCCCTAAGTGAGGATAAAGTGCTTCATAAGATCTGCGTTATCTGGCATTTTATGTTGTGGGGAAATCTATTGAATCTCGAAGCATGCTATAGGGCAAATATGACACTTCGCCTCATTCAATTCCGAAGGAACTGTAGCAGATAAGCATATAACAATAGTCTCTGATATGCTTTAGAACACGGATATGGAACTCGAAGCAGTAACTTTATGGATGCCGCCACTTTCTTACGTTAGTCTGAACTAAAAAATATTTCCAACAAGTTTTCTTACAGAATAATGCAAACATGCTCCCCTGCCCATCACAGATCAGAGGCATAACGTGTACTCTGTTTATTGCTGGGATCTGTATCATTTCCCCTTATATCATTTCATAAGTTCCAGTGCTAAATCTGTAATTATATCACTCTAAATTGCATTTTACCTCTTCTCACAGACTTTAAGATAAACATGCTCTCTAGGCAAGTAATTATCAGACATAAAATTCTATAGAAGAAAAAAACATTCCAGAAAAACTGAGCGTCGATATAGCGAAGCAGGATATAAAAGCTGTTGTCATTTACGGATAAATCATTCCAGACCGCTAATGAGTTTTACATAATTTTGGAACCATCTATGTCTTTCTCTTGAATAATGTGATACCACCATTTCCTGCATAAGTCATCCATCCTAAGGCGGTAGTGCGTCACCCCTACTTTAGCGGTAGAAATGTCACCTTTACTTTGCCGGTAGAAATGTTACCCTTACTTTGGCGGTACAAATGTTACCCTTACTTTGCCGGTACAAATATCACCCTTACTTTGCCGGTAGAAATGTTACCCTTACTTTGGCGGTAGAAATGTTACCCTTACTTTGGCGATAGAAATGTCACCCTTTACTTTGGCGGTAGATATATCACCCTTACTCTGGCGGTAGAAATGTTACCCTTACTTTGCCGGTAGAAATGTCACCCTTACTTTTGCGGTAGAATAACGCCATCCTGATTGCAGCGGTAGAGTAACACCATCTTTCTTATAGCAGAGGAATATATTTATCCTTACTATAAGCGTTTATGAATTCCATCTCACCCAAAATGTTTGAATGAACGTTATCATCACTCACAGAACAGTGGAATGATGCCGTATCGGCCATATAGAGGAAATAAAGTCAGTCCTTCCTTGTCGCTGGATTAGATGTCATCCCATCATGGAATAATATCATCCCTACCATGGAAGTGGAATGTAACCATTTATATGGTGATGGAATGATACTTAACCTCCCTTGACATGGGGATTATTTCTTTTCACCCATGGAGGATGATATATAGCTATAATTCTGCCGATGGTGGCTGAATGATACCATCGCTCCAATGATGAAAGGTTGATATCATTCCTTTCAAGGAAATGATAAATAGGGAGTCTAATCATGGAAAATTGGATACAGTTTTTCATCATAATTGGCACAAAGTGAATAAGTTTAATGCAACGATAATTTTACTGTTTTGAGAAATAAAACTATAACAAAAACAGATCTTTTATATATGATATTTCGGTATTTTAACGACAAATTACATAGTAATGGAATATTAACATTCACATACCGTTCCAAACGCCACCGATGACACCAATAAGTAGAATTTTGATGTAGTATAATTCCATCATACTGCTTCTGTTGTAAGAGCGATACTACGTGACTTATGATGTGGAGTGGTACCATGAGAGCTGTGTTAATGACCCGTCGATCCAAATCGATGTTTGGTATCTATTTCTAATGAGGTCATTGGAAAAGTTTGATGCACAAGTCGTGTAACCGGAACCTTAGACAGTGACAATGCTGAAGTTAACATGTGCACACGTAGCAAACATCACATACGTGACAAATTGCAGTCATTGGATAGGTTCGATAATTAATGGATTACTATTAACGCTATTGAATGGAAACTTGTTTTCCATTAAGCCTAATGACCAGTATCAGCTAAGGAGTGTCTCAGATCAACGTCTTTCTAGTTGTGACGAACTGGCTCTTGAAAGTAGACGTCTGTACCTGTTAAACTACCACAGTACTGTTGAAAATGGAAATAAGCTTGTGTGCTTATATATATCTCGTTTGATTTTCGTTATCACTAAAGCGTTTATTCAATGACACTTTAACTTCACCGATAACAAATCGATAAGTTACATCAAACGTCCCTCCTCCATCATTGTAAATCGATGAAACAGTAAAAACTATTAAACAGTCAAAACCTACCATTACATTTCAAGTGCATTGATGTCGGATAGTGTTTATAGATTATCACACTGTGCTTTCAAACGCGCTTGCACGTGGTTAAAATCTCGAGTCCACCTGCGGTGGTCTCTCGATTTCATCCACGTGCTCGCGATGAGAAAATTGTTCTCACAACAATATAAAGATGATAAATGGTCTATCACACAAGGTTTTCAGAATTTTCTTATCGCGAGCAACTGAATAAATCGAGAGTTGTTCTCAAGTCGTTCTCAACTTCGTCCTTGATATTCTCATTCAGACAAACCAAGATAATGAATTAATCACGCTACCGGTGGGTGGTATAAAGTGCTATATACGTGATAAATGAAATTACTACCACAGTACAAATAGAACTCTCATTCGTAAATATGCTAACGGGAAACAGTCGTCACTGTTCTTTCATATACATTGATTTGTTTTTCACTATCGGTAAATAAATTTCGAGGGAAACAAGGTCAGCCCTTTCGCTCCAGCTCAGGCCAGAAACGCCCTGTTAAAAACAGCAAAAGCGACTGTACTGTCACAGCTTCAACAGCAACAACTGTAATTGTCAACGGGAACAGTCGTGCACATACCCCCATATCTGTGAGTGGTGTGGGGGATCCCAAGACAGGTCGAAATACCCAAATCCTAAATCTACCCTAGCCACAATTCCTGAAAAAAAAACCAGCCTAATAAATCGCAACCCGTTCATAACACCTCAAAGTCAAACGAGGACAGAAATGCACCCATGTTCTGTTCCTACTCCAATTGATGGAAATAAGTTGGAACCATTTCTAAAAGGGAATGCAGATAGAGAATTTGTAGGTAAGAGGTTTTCGCGATGGTTTGCAATTCCATATACAGTCAGGCGGGAACATCCGTCATGTTCAAATTTGAAATCGGCCAGAGATAGCACGGGTGTGCTTCAGTTCAAGATAGACAAAGAGGTGGCATCAGGTAGGGTAGTGGGTCTATTTGATGAGTTACCTATGCCCAACCTACAGTTATCTCCCTTAAGCTCAGTCCCTAAAAAGGGGTCGGACGAAATATAGGGCTAAACATCATTTTTCATATCAATCCGGCAGCTCCATAAATGACGGCATTCCATCAAAATATAAGTCAGTATCGTATCAGATAATTGATTACGCCACAAAGCTATTTCTACAGTATGGCAAGGGTTCTTTGGTGGCTAAGACGGCTATAGAACATGCTTACAAAATTAACCCTATTCACCCCATACGATTACGACCTGCTCGGATTCAAAATTAATGACCAATTTGATTTTGACCGCACATTACCCATTGAATCTTACTCCTGTCAACTGTTCGA